GTGGGTATGAGATAAATGTGTCACGAGGGCAGAAAATAATATGTGATTGATGAGAGTGGGTTCACTGGGGAAGAGAGGCTCACAATTATTGGAGAATTTATCCGTCAAGTGGCCACTTAAAATAGGTTAAAATTCTTTTTAGAAATTGTATAGAATCATAGTTTGTCATTGTTGGGCTCAAAATGAAAGCACCGTATCCTATATCGACAGGCAGCAGCTGAACAGTTTCGACCACTTCCTCTTGTTTTCACACTTCGGAGGTCAAACCAAAATTGCACCACTGCTGTGTCTCTTAAATGCTAACTTTTTGGCAAACTTTTTTCCATCCTGTCATGTTTTGACATAACATATTAGGTCTGGGAGGAACAACTACAGCTGATCCCACTTAATCCTTTTCTAACGCACGCTCACATTTAAAATATTTCAACACTGATCGAACTCTTCTCTTATTAGACGCATGTGTCAACGTCGCAGACTGAGATCGTGCTTCCTGAATATCGCTGTGCTTCTCATGCAAACTGCTGCATCCTTAAAGGAATAGTTAGACGTTTTTTGGGGGGGAAAAAGTTACATAATATTTTATATCTCCCTGTTAAGTTTGAAAAAAGCAAAGTTCACCACAAAGGCTGGAAACTGCCTAAGTCTCCGTGAGAAAGAGCATTAAACTGCTCCTTCACACTTTCATCTCCACTTGCTTTGGCATTTTGGTGAAATTGTTAGAACTGAAAAACCCATCAATGGAACAAAAGGGTAACAAGTCCAAGGAAAAATAACAAGACGTCTGTGTTTGTTGCCACAGCGACAACAAATCCACCTGTAACACGAGCGAGACGCGGTTCACTTGTAATCACTCATGAACATTCAGCCTGATCTTTTTCTGGTGATTGAATTAGTTGTATCCTGTCAAATTTATTGTTACCGCTTGATGTGAAACAGTTCTCTGATGAAATACCGTATGTTTCTACTAAAGGGATTGATTATAAAGTTGACTCACACACACACACACACACACACACATGCAGACACATTTTTCAGTGCCTGAGGCCTTGCTGCTTTTGGAGAAAGGCCAGGAATAACAGAACAGCTCTGACATGATTGATTGCACCTTTGGCTGCCGATTACCACACAGAGAGCTGCAGCAATAACGACAACGACGTGAAGTGAGACCGGCTAATCAGAGCGACGGCACTCGTCTGCAGACGCAACATTTAGAAAGTTCACAAGAGAACTCCGAGAGATTCAACACGATGATTAGGAGCTCTGGGGTTTCTGAGGTGTTAGCACATTAGCCTACAGCTGACTAACAGCTTTCTTGGCTTTGCTTTTGTCATCTGAACTTTTTATGAAGTAAACAGATCAATTAAGTAAAGTCTCCCTGCGGTCGTGACACTATGATTGTTGATCAGTCCTTTAATTAAAGCATTAAGCTCATAAATTCCCCAAGGACGCCTGCAGCCCAGATCCCCTCCTCCTCTTTAAGTTTCCCCCAACGAGGACAGGATTCAGGATGCTCTCATCTTTGTAGAAATAGCATTCATTTTCTTTTAATTCTTTTGTATTTTGCACAAGAGCAGCACACTGTCCCCAGTCACGATGAACGCTGTAAGTCAGGTCTTGCAGCATTTCACCATTATGAGCAGCAGTGATACATAAAAAGTTATTTTTTTTACTTTAGGTGGACAAAAATCTTCAATGTTCACTGATTTCAACAGTGATTAGAAGCTCTGGGGTTTTTTCGATGCTCTCATCTTCGCAAAAATAGCATCAGTTTTTCTTTTATTCAAAATTTTGTCTTTAAATTTGGGTGGAGAAAAATCTGCTCTGCTTCTGTTTTCGGTTCTCTAATTTGCAAGTGTACAAGAATGGTGCAGAAGCTAAAGTTATTTTAATTTGAATATGTCATTTAAAGCAGATTTGCTCCAAAAGAGTTTAAATGTGCTCCACTGAAATCTAATTCTTGTGATGTGACTCCCAAAAAAAAAAAAAAAAAGCCTCACAAAAAAGGTTTAACACAGAAACTGCACCTCTATTTGATGAAAATCAACTATACATACCGGTGAATCCAGAGGGTTTTAGATGTGCATTTTGGCAGCATGTGGCTGCTTAATGGCAAATACAGATGTGCGCCTTGTTGCTTTCCAGGAAAAAGACAGGCGGTATTTCTGACTGCAGCATACCCTCCGTTTTCCTGGACATTTATTAAATGGTGAAATGCTGAGGATGGGCTGCATGAAATTCCTCTACTCAACAGTGAACTGCTTAATTTCTTACTGACACCTCGTCTGCGTGAACCACTGCAACCTTCTCAGTATCTGCTTCACTGTGCAGAAGTATCTCCTGTTGTTAACACCAACTAACTGGGAGGTAAGAATCAACTATTCCTCGGTCACTTAAGTACAGTGCAAAAGAAGGAGACGAAGAGAAGCCACGCAGGCATCAACTCCCCCTTGTCACGGCTCTGCTCTTCCCTTATCAGGATGCTGGACAACTTCCATGTGGAGGGAGAGACTGCTGGAGCCAAACAGACAAACAGCAGGCCAGAGAAGACTGGCTGCTTTGCTATAGCAGTAGCTGACGTGGAGCTAAGTGTGCATCTCCCACACACACACACACACACACACACACACACACACACAGAAGCCCGTGCAGCTGGAGCCACTCGAGATGCCTGTCTGACAGCCAGCTAGTGAACCTCGAATTCAAGTCTAGAAGAGTGGGAGACGGAGCGATGTTGCGTTCCAAGAATAAGTAGCACAGGGTTGGGAATGTACACAGACTGACAGATACATATAGGCAACGAGGAGACTGATAAACAGAAGCACGCACACTCATGCAAACATCCTGCGAGGTCACCTGCTAGTTAACGGAACATATGGATCTCTTTACCTCTGACACGATTTGAAATGAGATATTGTGACACATCTTCTTCATCTGCTCTGACTGGAATTCTGATTTTGACTTGTTGCTCTGTTGACAGCTGTTGTTCCAAATGCAGTTTGCTCCACACACTGTCGGGGTTAAGCTCATAAATAAAGCTGGTGGATCATAATCAGCTCGCTCTGTTTATTGTGCACGACTGTATTTTTAGTGTGATGCAAAAAAATCGCCTATCTGTGGCACACTCCCTTTGTGTCCGCTGTTTCCACAATGGTTTTGCGTTTCATCTCTGAATTAATTGCATACTACAGCGAACCACAGACGGAGGAGTAATGGAAAAACTCATTAGGACGGGTCTTGACAGGAAAACTTTCCAAGTCTTGGTAGTGGCGAGCAGATAAATGGAAAACTCATTGTGAAACCAAACGTCAGCCGAGTCTCCCCGACTCTTGCGCTTTCTTTCTCTCAATTATGTGACCAGGATGAAGTCATCATTACTTAATCTACCTATGCCAGTCCCGCAAAAAATGTTCCCCTCAGCAGTGTCCGCAGTGTACAAGCAGCATATCATGCCAGATATGTTCGGTATGTGATTAGTCTAAGTCCAAGAGGGGCTATTTGTCAGATCCAGGGAGGGGAACATTCCTTCATTCCTGCATCCATTCTGTCCCAGACCTCTTCATTACATAATGCATCGGGACACAGAGTCAGCATATGTTGATCTGGCATCTGTGAGAATCATCAGAGCTGAGTGAAGAGGAAAATGACACACAGGTCAAAGTGTGGAAATTGAACAGACGGCCAAAAACTAACTCTGTGAACTGACATGACAGTTATCCAATACTTTCTCTTAAACTGGTTTACATAAACACTTCACCAAAACAATTAAATATGACAACATTTAGCTGCAGATAATGAACAGCACACGCAGACTGTGCTTGAATGAAGTGTGATAAGATGTTGGCGTATGCAGGGTTAAACTGCATTAACATTATAGTATACTCTGGTTGTTAGCAATAGTCTGACATCTAGTGGGCAAGGTGAAAAAGCATTCTGACAGTGTTTTCCAGAGGGGAGGTCACATCTCAGTTTACAACAGAACTGTGAGATTAGTCTTATATGTGGTGTAAGTTTAAAAATAAGGTTTGTGATTTGTGCAATTTTAAAACAAAGGAGGAATGTTTTTTGACACTGGGTCCCTCTACAAGACATGCTGACCTGTAATAATTCACAAATTGCCTTCTGGCTCTTATCACATTGTGTGCTGATGATGCCTAACACATTATCAGTTTGCCACAGATCAAATGTCTTTCAATAAATAACATGTCTTTTAAATTCTAGGACATCTCTTTGCCTGCTTGACAATGAAACCTTAAACTGGAATAAATCAGTGTGTCGAGACTACAGACAATATGCATTATCAAGAAAATTCACCACAAGTTTTCCAAATCCGAGTTTACCTGTCGAGCAAATGCAGGTCCACATGAGTGCTGAACTGTGAGGATCTGTTTCTTGTTGTTTCTTTGTTTTTGTGTGTTTATTTGCAGATAGCAAACTCAAGAAAACTCTGCAGCGAGATCACTCACAACTACTCGACACAGGAAGCACAATACTGCAGTCCTGGCTGAATTATTATTAACCCTAATTCTTTAAAGAAATTCAATTTAAGATTCTCTACTGTTAAGTCTCTACCTGGTCTGACCCAACTTTGCATCTGAACTTTTAACCCCTTATTTCGCACCCAGATGCTTCAGATCAGACAATGATTTGCTGTTAGAAATTCCACGGTCCAGGCTTACAAAAAAGGACAGTGATCTTACTGTTTTAGACCCAGTGTTTTGGAACATGCAACTACTTCCAATGAGAAAAGCTCAGTCAGTGAATCAGTTCAAACAGCTGTTAAAACCCCACCTGTAGGCTACAGAGAGGCATATGATTTATAGTTAATTGCTGTAATAGATACACGTTTACTATGATGTGCAGTACTTTTGGGAAAATGCGAAATACGTAAAAAAAAAAAAAAAAAAGTACCTGTTGAAGTGGAAAAACTCCCAGGAACCTTTTGCCTCGTGAAACCTTCGGATGTGTTTGGAAGACGGACCGCCGGGTGTCACACCATTTACTGTCCGTGAAGCAAAAGTAGTGCACAAGCTAATACAGTGCTGAAAACTAGTGTCCGTTATTTAGTGTTTTTTTCTGTGAGTCCTTTTGATGGACTGCGTGGAGCAGAAAGACACAGAAGCAAAGGCGCCTTCCGTCGTGGACAGATATTACACTCGCTGGTACAGAGCCGGTAAACACTTTTACATTTCCGCCATGTTAGCTAGCTAGCTAGCGGCTAACTTCAGCGAGCTAACGTTGGCACAACTTGTGAATTCAGGGAGAGAGAAAGCAGGAAATGTTTGTTCTAACCAGCAGAAATGAATTTAAAATGTCACGAATATGGTTGTTGTCGTTGTTTTATTTAGATATGAAGGGGAAAGCGTGTGAAGACCACTGTATCCTGCAACATTCAAACAGGTAAACAGTGGACAGGAATCTGTGCAATACTGTTATTCCTAGAACTGTAATTTATAGATATTTTGGTTTATTTGTTTTGCTGATGTTCCTTAAAGGTTTGAACTAGCCTCTTTGCTGCTGTAACAATGCAAATTCCCCCACTGTTGGATTAATAAAGGATTATCTTATCTTAAAATATAATTATACCCTAAATTTAAGATTAAGTTTATGTTAACTTGACTTATGTAAACACTGATTAGCTGTTGATCGAGGCACACGTGGTACCCTTTTTTTTTAATCACCATTTTTGTTTATGTATTATTTATTTAACCCAACACGTTATGTTTTGGGGATTTTCTTTCTGTTGGTGTTGTATTATTATATAAAAAAAATATTCACATATTTTTCCTGTTAAATAACTGATATAATTGAAATGCCTTACAACATAATGCGACCCAATAAAGCAACAGTACAGCACAGTGGGGCTGAACAATTGATAAATAAAACAACAGTTCTAAGAAATACAATTTGCAAATAGCAAAGGCTGCAATTTAGGGTATATGATCTGCAGATCTTGGCTGAGTGGTGGCTCGGTGGTTAGCACTGTTGCCTCGCAGCAAGAAGGTCACCGGTTCGCGTCCCGGTGAGGACACCCGGGATCTTTCTGCATGGAGTTTGCATGTTTTCCATGTGCGGTGTGTGGGTTCTCTCCGAGTTTTCCGGTTTCCTCCCACACAGTCCAAAGACATGTTGAGGATAATTGGTGATTCTAAATTGTCCGTTGGTGTGAATGTGAGTGTGCTTGGTTGTCTGTCTCTAAGTGTAGCCCTGTGATAGACTGGTGACCTGTCCAGGGTGTCCTCTGCCTTTGCCCTGAGTCAGCTGGGATAGACTCCAGCCCCCCGCGACTCTAGTGAGGATTAAGCGGTGTGTATAGATAATGGATGGATGGATATGCAGATCCAGGGTTTAAACTGTCATGTCCTTGGTTTTACAAATTCATCTCATCCTCCTTGTGTGACAGAGCCACTCTTTTAAATCTATTACACATTTAATATTTAACTGAAGTAGGATGTTATACCGCAAATCAAATCGCAGTACCTGTCAGAAAAATCAGTCCGATTTTCTTCTCCAAATCATTCATCCCTACAGTACAGCCTAAAATGAATTATAAATGAATGAATCTAACAAAAGTGATGCACTTATTGCAGTAGAATTTATGTGGCTCTGTAGAGGGGTTTCCATTTTTCGATTGAATTAAATTATTTAGTTGATGTATTTTCCCTGATACCTGTCTTAACTATGTCTGATATCATTTTGTTTCTAACATTACCTTCCAGTTTTATGCCACACTGTCATAAAACAAAGTAACTCCCACTCAGTATGAGTGACTTGTGTCACTAATAATGTGCCTTCAAAGAAAAGGATTTATTCGGCAGTTTCATGAATACATTTTAAAATGTTTATTAGACTTGACAAATGTGTGTATGTTCTTTGCAGACTATGTGTTGTCACTTTAGCAGAAACCCACCCGATCCTTCAGAATGGGCGCACAATCAAAAGCATCAATTACCAGATCAGTACCGGCTGCAGTCGGCTGAATAACAAAGTGTCTGGGAAGTCCAAGCGGGTAATTCAATAAATCTCCAGATGATTTAGATTTTTTTTTTTCCCCCTGTGCTTGTCCTTACCTTTTGTTTTATCCCAACAACAGGGGGGGCAGTTCCTTACTGATTTCGCACCTCTGTGTAGGATAACATGCTCAGATGAAACTGAGTACACAATCTACAGGTGGGACCGTGTTCTTATTATTCAAAGCATACATTTATTTTAGTCGTGCTTGTGTGTCAGGATCACTTATGTAATTATTTGTTTTAGCTGCATCCGGGGTCGTCTTCTGGAGGTCAACGAGAATATTTTAGAGACACCTAATCTGTTGATGGAAAAGGTAAACGTTAGATATTTTTACATTGCATTGATGATGTCGTCTGTAAATCTGATTATGTGATCAATGCTTCAGTATTTATTATGTGTGTATGTCTCATAAACAATATATTCTATCCATTTGTCTGCTTGTAAGGACATTAGGTGATCCACGAGTTAGCACCTCAACCTGATCACTACATCTTCATCTCATCTTATGATTTTGTCTCTTCAATCTGAACAGCCGTCCACTGAGGGATACATCGCTGTCATCCTGCCAAAGTTTGAGGAAAGCAAGAGCATAACAGAAAACCTACTGACCAGAGAGGAGTTCGAGAGCGTCGTCTCCAAACGTAGCGATGTCCAGTCGCAAACCTCCTGACGGGGCTTCACCCTCTGGCCTTGTTAATGTTTAAACTGTCCCGGGAGAAGTTCTTTCCCCTCACACTCTCACCCGGTCAGAGGAAGACCGAGAACAGCATCGCGGACAGTGATGTTTACATGGGGTCACTTCTGAAAGACTTTTGTGTGTAATGCAAGCACTGTGCCTCTAGGTTATTCTACATTGTTTTCAGTGTTTAAAACTTTCATGAAGGGTCCAGGAAGCACTTCAGTTTCCAGTGCTTTATCTATTGTTTTTTTTGTTGTTTTTTTTGCTGAGGAAAGCATGAAAAATGACTCTCATCCTGTTGTTACAAATACTCTTCAGTAAAAGATATTTTTGTAAAATATCAAGAAAAGCGCAACAGTGATTTAAGAAAAATATCGTTTATTTTTTGTGTCACTTTTATTAACCTTTCAACAGTCAAAAGAATAGGTGGTCCAAAACTAGATCTGATTTCTTCACTTCGGTAGCGCCACTACTACACCAGCGTTCTTAGCTGCTCTCAAACTGTACAAAGATTCTCTAAAGCTTAATGTATGTTATACATTTATCACACCCTCGCCTAGTACCAAAGTCATTACCTTGGGATACACACATACATTTATATATATCTATATATATATATATATGCTTCAAGTACCATATCATATATACCCTTTAATACATATTGGCCAAGTAGGCAGCTTCACAATGATAGTCTTCATAACAAGTACACTTCAAGGTTCCATTTGACACAGGTGCCAGTTCAGATTCAATTCTCTGTGAGGAAAAAAAAAATGTCAAAGAGTATGCTGTGTACACAGAATATGGTTCGATAATACTCAGGACGCTATAAGCTAAGGTCCTGATTTCTCAAAAGCATCTTTGTGGCTTTTTTTTTTTTGGGAGTAGCCACGCTTAAATAAAAATACCTCCAGGGACGTTGGAGCTTCATAAGTTTCATATTTTCTACCAGTAGCAAGAAGACGTCCTCATGAAAATCAGATGCTTCATGAGGATGAAACATTTGGCTTTAAAATTGTCTTTTTTTTGCATTTTTCTACTAATATGGCACAGGGGGAATGTTCCATAGTAAACTCTATGGCAATTACACATTAATTATACGGCGTGGTCGACTTTAAAATACCTATCTATCCAAGTGAGACGCTGTTTACAAAGCCAGTGATCAAGGATGCTATGTACCACTATGGCTAACATTACATAAAAAGTGTTAACGTTACAAGCCTATGATCTCAGCAGACTCAAACACGAGGGTTTTGGCGACGATGGCGTCATGCACGGTGGGGTTTTCACTTTGTTTTGTCATTTAACTTGTGCAACACGTTTACAGTACACCACGAAACAAATAGGCTCGTCACACAGAGGCACGTGGTGAAGACAGATGTATGGCTGAGCTGAGCGTCGAGCGGGAGTTCTCTCCTGATTTCTCATCAGTTTATCAATTCAGGGGCCAGAGAAGCGATAAAAGTGATCGCAAAAATCAGGTTTGTGCCTCGCTTTCTGTAGAGACTCACTATCACAGCGTTGGCTGATTGTCTCCATCTTGTGGACTGGGGTGGAACTGGTGCTTTAGGTAACGAGCTACCACCAACGGGCATCGAGAGCTTGGATCTGCTTCTTTTTTTTTTTTTTTTCTCCTCTTGTAAACCTTAGAATTTATCATCCGGACAGCAAATGCAAACTCTGGCTGACCAAAGGCAACCATCTTCACCCCACAGCTCTAGCCCACTCTTTAGTGGGTGCATGAGGATGAGGGGAGTATTTTCTGCGTTCTCCAGAGAGGTGAGGTTAGCTATGTGCTGCTCCAACAAGAGTAGTGGACAAAAGGGGGGGATTTCTGACTCCCGGATTATTTGCTCTCTAGGAGGTTGAGACCGGCCATGTGCTGCTCCAGGGACTTGACCCCGAAGCCGTTGCTGTTCTTGCCGTTGAGGGCTCCCTCCTCTTTGACAGGTGTGGATGAGTCCTGCCTTTCTCTCCAATCCTGTGGGGAGCTCAGGCTACTCCTCTCGGACTTGTACTGCAAATGGACAGCAGAGAGAAAGATTGAATGAAAAAGTAAATAATGGCACACTTCTAGCCATGAAAAGGGGCTTAACTCTTTATAGGGTACTCCTTGAAACATTTGGAAAATGAACATTTCAATCCGAGGGTGTTATTGAAGGACATTTCAAGATATTTTTACTTTTGTGACTTTAAAAAGAAAAAAAACAATGTTGCAAATCAAGATGAATAAAGTTACCGTATATGGCAATTTGCCCATCTGCAGTTGAAAAAAAGTGATTTTATAATAAATAAAAGAAAAAGTCATAAACTGCAAAAAAAACATTTATTTAGAAACATTTTACTTTAAGGTAATGATACTCACACAACCAGTAACAAAGTGTTTATAAAGTGCTTGGCAAGTTCATTTAGTCACATTTGTCTTGGGGTCGTGATATTGGCAATAATATCAAAACAAAATCAAAGTGTACCTGGGGAGGCACAGGGTGGACATGTTGAAGGAAGTTACCAAATATGGTCACTTGCCCCATAAAGGGTTAAAGCTAATAAACATTCTTAGAATAAAAATGGATCACAAGACTACTTGCATGTGAAACCATCTGACAGTTATAACCGGACTCACGAAGCATTCAGCTCATTATTCTGGTTTCACAGCCCACAACTTAATTGTTTCAAACTAAACGAACATTTTTGGCTCTAAAAAGCCTGTTTTTAGTGAGAAATCAAAACAACAGGCACAGTTTGTGATTAACTGGTGAACACAGTGAAGCTGTAAGAAGCTACAGACACAGATGTTTAGTTAGAAATGAAAATGCAAAAAAATGAAAGGCAGCTGGTTGATAAAACGCTTGCTTCTGCTGCTCGTGATGATCATTTCAGGTTAAATAACTACATTTTAGTAGATTCTCGCAGCCTGCCAAGCTAATCCGAGCGCTACCCGTTCAGTGTTGCGTCCAGTTCACCTTTCGGTTGAGCTTGTTGCAGAACGGGAGGAGGGAGAGGACAACAGTCAGGACGGTTCTGGTCGTCTGAATGGATGAGTCCACCTAAAGACAAAGAAACACAATTATGCAAAGCGGGAAGACGTGCCAAATGCAGCAGATTATTAACCACACATAATTAAACATTTCCTTATTGGTGTCCCACCAAACGCTGCCCGACAAACACTCTTCCATTAGCGATGCACGATAAAGTGAACATCAGGATGGAGATTGGAGCCAATACATATAAAAGAGGCCTCCATTAATCAGCGGAGGACACGCTATTCTTCATCCCGTCCTTTTGATTCCAACCCTCGCCTTTATAGCAAGGTGACCTGAGGCAGTTCATCTCTGCCCAAGATGCTCATTAATTCCTCACCCATCCATTAATCCGACACCCTGCTTTAGATGTTGGTGTTACGGATCACTCAAAGATTGCGCCGTAGCCAGTAATGAACACAGTTAGTCGTGCTCTATTGTATGTTCAACGCTTCACTGACCCCCCGACGGTTGTTGTTGGGGGGGTGTAGCTTTGATGCTGTCAGAGCTGATAAAAAAAACATGCTACCGTTATGTCAGCTCTGTGTGATTATTTCTAATTTAATGTCTGCCAAACCAAACAGACTTTGAGGAAAGAAGGTGATTGATTATTTTCTTTAACAAACAGCACCGACACTAACTAACAGAGGCACACAGGAGTAGTGTAGGTACCTTCTGGAAGGTGGCAGTCTTGCCCTGTACAGGAGTCTTGGCTCCCATCTGCAGCTGTTGGCACAATGCCACCAGTTTCTCCATTTCTGTCATCACCGCAGACTTCTCCTCATCAACCAGCTGGAGCAGAGAGAAAGACAGACAAGACAGAAGAGAAGGACGTCTTTTTAGAGAAGCACGGATGGTTTATGACGGCATTTTCCGGGGAGACGCGGTTAATACGCGCGGACGTTGATAGATTTACTGCGCTGGATTTACAGTGCTCCTTGTCAAACACAAATCAGGCGTCATAAAGAGGGAGGATGAGATAAATAAAAAAATAAATAGGCTTGCTTGATGTAATCCATCAGCAACAGCTATGATCTGCTCGCTTAAGTCTGTTATCCAGCTGAGTTAATCCCTAGATCTCAGTCACAGGGGCCATCAATCTACTTCAGTTACATGCCACCAATGACCCAAAATACAAGCTCTAATTCAGGGTAGCGCCATTCACGGCTAACAAAAGCACATAAAACCTACGGAGAAAAAAAAAAAAAAGGCGCTCAAGCTTATTTGCATGAATAGCTTTCTTTTTGAAAGAGGGGAACACAGGTGTGCCACAAGTGTGTCTGGTGCCAAAGAACTATGAAAGTGGAGGGTGAGACAGAGGGACTCCATTAGCAGCAGTTTTGTTTGATGTAATTAATCAGAAAAGCACGAGGCAAGTTGAAGAGCTGGGGCCTCCTGATTATGAATTAGTCGTGGGCGGTCGCAGGCAACCTCCCCCCCCCCGCCCTCGTCCCTCTTCCGCACGTGCACGCCAACATACACACCGGCAGACGCGGCGGTGACAAATGGCGGTCGTTAAAGGCTGTCAAAAGGAGCCATTTAATTAAACTTGGAGGACCCGGGGAAGAAATTGGTGGAGGGCAAGAGGAAGGAAGGCACCGAGGCTACGTTTGTTTGTTGGATCTCGAGTGGGGGGGAAAAAAAAGAGGACGATGAAAGTGTGTGACAGCCTTAATTTCCTGCTCTCGCTGTGTGATTTATATGGCGGACCTGGCACCGCGGCGTGCCAGACTGGGTGATATGGGCGCGTATTGGTGTGAGAGGCATAACATGTGTGCGGGCACAGGTGCCAGTGTGTGTGTGTGTGTGTTTGCATACCGAGTGGGTTCGCGGCTCACTCAGTTGAAAAGAAAATAAACTGCGGTGTATAAAATATATCTGGGTTTTTATCTGATTGCTCCTTACATGAAAAGTCTTCTTTCTTTTACATAGCATGCATTAGATTTATTTTCGTATGCTTAATGCGTAGAAATGTTTTGCGGTGCTATTATGTGAATGTGCTTTGGTGTGCGAGTATTCAAAAGAGACAGATTTGCATTAGTGTATGTATACCTGAGCGGAAAAGGTGCGGAGAGATGAGCACAGCTGGAGACCCTCTTCAGAAAGAACCTTAAAAGTCACAGAAAAGAGACAGAAAAAAAACAACTTACTTACACAAATACAAGCAAAGCTATAATTCTTTGGGCTTTCACTGGGAAGGCCTTCAATAGGGGAAGAAAAAAAAGCATAGTCAGTAAATATTGAGTTTAGTTTTTCTTATCAGTATGCCTTCCCGTCTCTTTCCCCCCTTTCTCTCTTATCTCCTCTGCTCATCCCAAATTGAATAA